CAATTTTGAAATTAGGGTTTTCTTTGCAATTAGGGTTTCAAATTGGGGATTTTTCCCAAAATTAGGGCTTTTCACATTTAAACCAAATTTTCATTCAATTAGATTCGGTTAAGGTCACATTAGTCTAATTAGAACTAATTCAATCCTTGTGGGAACGATACTTGGACTCATAGTCCATTTTACTAATTGTTAACGACCCGTACACTTGCGGTGGGTTTTAAAATTGAAAAGAAATATTTGCGAACACTTACCCTAATCAAAAGACATGAAGATAATTAGTAACTCCAATAGTAATGTGTGGAAAAATAATCGAGAGGGAAAAAAAGATTAATAAAATATAGCACTTTGTACATACCATTCTGTCATTTGTTTTACTGCGTTGAAAGGTGTATCTATGAAGAAAGTGGAACGGACTTTCGTGGACAATTTTAAAGCTATATAATATCAATATAGAGAATGTGTAAATGATGTAATATATACCTTAAGAGGAGTTTAAATAATACAATAGAACATACCAAAGAATGATGTAACCTTTAGACGGGTTGCGAAGATGACTGACTTTTTGTCAATAATATCTGCTATCAGTAAGCATTCTCTGTCAACAAATGAATCCCAAAGTGTAAGCACCATTGTTTTGAAATTCATGTCTAAAAGTATGATATTTTGCAACCAAGTTTGGTTGCCATCTTTGGATTGAATCAATCGTTTGGGTGTCATATTAACTGCAACTGTAAGTATATCTGCAAATTTGAAATGAGCCATCAAATTTTCTTTTTTTGAACATAAGCAGTATGAATTTGAAGGAAACTATATTTCTGCAGAATCAGTATATGATTATTTAATATCTATGAAATTTTGTCTTACTTAAATCAGCATCTGTATTCATGTATTGTTCGAATTCATGAAACTGTGTCAGTTGATATGTTGAGAATACAAACTCTAGATTATTTTCGTTCAATTCTTTAATACAAGTTTCTCCAGATATTGTCCATTGTAGAGAGCCAGTCGAATATCTGTAGTTTTTCGTATTGTTCTTCACATAAGCTTTCGAAATAGTATAAATTTTTCCCAGAACAAGTTGATCCTCAAAAGCAGTGATAGTGGAATCATATAAGCTTGCATGAATAGTATTACCCTGAAAAATGATGAGGATCCATATAAATAACTGTAATATACGTGATCTTAGATTAAGAAAAAATAAAAAAATAAAAAAGAAATGAAGAAAAAATATATGAAGAAGAGTTACCTGAGTATCCATTAACATCAAATATTGGTACCTTCCATTGCCTTGTCTTGAAGGATTTGGTGATTGTTTTTCAACTACAATCACTTTAGCTTTCCACTTTTGACTCTTGAAAATAATTTCTGGTTGATGTTGGTATTGTTCTTCCATCGTGGCAATTTCGTAACAGAATAATAGAGGCAAAATACACACAAAAGGAAGATTTCTATAGCAAACGATTTTGAGATATCAAATTGACAAATAAAAGAAGATATATATAGACATGTAAAATTATATCATATTTGATTTCCCGTACTTTATCTTCTATTCTTAAT